GCGTGCCCCTGGATGGGGCCAATCTATGGGAACACACGTATTCCTGGAGAGGGCCAATATATAAGAATATATGTAAAAACATACGTATTCGTGCCCCTGGAGAGAGCCTATATATATATATATATATATATATATATAAACATACATATATATAGGTAACGCGAGGGCCCATCTATAGGAACATACGTAAAAACACACAGACACCCTGTGATTTATCGAACGCGATTTCAAAAACCAGCGTTTCGCTAGGGACATCCTCAAACTTTAATTCGCCGGCCCACCTCGACCTCGATATTTATCGCAGAAAAGAAATTCGCCGGCCAACCTCAAACCAAACCCGGAGGTAAACCAACTAAAAGAGAACCCTGGGCTTATACCCTTTCTGGGAAAAATCCTCCGAAAACCCTCGGAAAACAAATGAATGTTGCCTCCCAAGGCCCTCTTGGGGAGCCTCTTGAATCCGTCCTGGAGCGCGTTGGGGTCCTCGTCGGCCGCCTTGAGGGCATCTTGGGCGTCTTCGGGGCCTCTTGGGACAGTCTTGGGCCCTCTTCGGACCCCCTTAGCATGTCGTGGCCTGTTTCTGGGAGGGCCCAGGCCGTCTCGGGGCCTCCTGAGAAGCTTTCAAGGCGGAAAAATAAAATGTTGCTTTTTTGTTCCCCCTCGTGGGCCCCTCTGGAAGCCTTCGCGGGGCCCTCTTGGGCTTTCTAGGGCCCTCTGGAGCGCCTCTTGGGCTGTCCTGGGGCTGTCCAGGGCCGTCTTCAAGCTGTCTGGGGGGCCTCCCGGGCAGTCTTGGGGCGCTCTTGAAGACTGTTGGGCCTTGCTGGACCGTCGGAAAGGTAAAAAGGCGATCAAAACCAAAAACATCGAAAAACACAATGGCAAATCAACGATTTTGGCCTCTCGGGGCTCTCTTGGGACGCTTCTTTGGAGCCTCTTGGGGCGGCGTCGGGGCTTATTGGGCTGTCTTGGGGCCATCTTGGGCGTTTTCGGGGTCTCTTAAGGCTTTCTTGACCATCTGTAGGGCCCGCGTGGCCTGTCGTGGACAATTTGGAAGCGGCCTGGGGCAGTCCAGGGGGATCTGTGGCCCCCCAGAGGTCCCGGGGGGCGCCCATGGGGAAGGGTGGCACCGGCCCGGCCCCACCACCCCGCCTACTCCGATCTCTATATATATATATATATACACACACATGTACACACACATACATACATACATACATACATGCATACAGACAGACAGACAGACAGACAGACAGACAGACAGACAGACAGACAGACAGACAGACAGACAGACAGACAGGCAGGCAGGCAGACATGCATGTATGCATGAATGCATACATGCATACCTACCTATCTACCTACCTACCTACCTACCTACCTACCTACCTGCCTACATGCATACATACATACAAACAAACAAACATATTGGCATACATATATACATGCATACATGCATACATGCATACATGCATACATACATACATGCATACATACATATATATATATATATACATACATACATACATACATACATACATACATACATACATGCATACATACATACATGCATGCATGCATGCATGCATGCATGCATGCATGCATGCATACATACATACAAACAAACAAACATACATACATACATACATACATACATACATACATACATACATGCATACCTGCATGTATGCATACATACAGACATACATACAGCACAATACAATACAATACAATACAATACTATGCAATACAACACAATACAATGCAATGTAATGAAATACAATGCAATGCATGCATGCATACATAAGCATAAACGTATACGCGTATGTACAGATATATATATATATATATATATATATATATATATATGTACACATATATATATGTTCATAAATGCATATATATATATAGGCATATAGGCACGAATCGCCCAGCGAGCCGAATCCTTTCACGGGGCCATGACCTCGGGGCCCACCGGAGTTTCTTCCTGATGGGCTGGGTTCACGTTCATGGCGCGCTGATCCAACTTCCCGAGTGGTTTTGGGAGAGTCGGCCACCCCCAAAGACCAGGGGCTTCAGACCCCTCCCTCCGCAGGCGTAGGAGGCCATCCCCAGGGCGATCCGGTTGAGCATCCTGACGGGCCCCCCGCCCTTGCGAAGATGCCGCGGCAAGAACCCCCTTCAAGAGGCCGCGAAGAGGTCCTGCCAGACATATCCCCGAGCCAAGCAGACCCGGCGAGAGTCGAAGCGGCGGGCCACGTAGACCAAGAGGCGGGGGGAGTCCGCTCGAGGTAGCCAAGCGACCCCTTATTGCGCTTGGCGTCGTCCCCCAGCATCCTTCGGGTGTAGCACAAGTGTTGCGCAAGCATCCTGGCTTCCGAGCGGGAGCTCCGCAGACTGCCCCTGGAGGGTGCTTCAGGCGGCTCGGCCGGGGCCCCTGCGCGGGACGCCCGCGCCCAAGCTCCAGGCTCCCCCTGGGGCTGATCCGCTCGCGGGCCGCGGTCCGTTCCCCCGCGGCGGGGGCTCGCCGGGCGGGCGACGGCGCCTCCCCCCATGTGGGCGCGCACCCATCCGAAGAGGACCTGGCGCCGCCCGGGGCGCGGGGCGCGGGATTTGAATGAATGCCTTAAAGGTGCTCTCTTGCAGCGGGAGCTTGTTGAGTACAGGGTGTTGCCTTGAAGACGGAGGTTGTTGACTACAGGGTGTTGTCTTGGAGACTGAAGCTGTTGAGTACAGAGTGGTGCGTGCTACGCGGACGGCAGGCGGGCGGCGGGTGCCCTAGGTGGTGGGTCTGAGGCCTCATGGGTGTTGATTTGGATCTCGTGGTTGGCCTGTCGGGGACGTCGTGAAGGCAGTTTCACAGCTTCTCGGTAGCCTTTTTGAGACCGTTGTGGGACCTGTGCTTGGCCTGTCGGAGACGTCGTGAAGGCAGTTTCGCAGCTTCTCGGTAGCCAGTTTGAGACCGTTGTGGGACCTCTTCGGGGCTGCTTGGTGGCCTCTGGAGGCCTTGTTTGGGTGTCCTGGGTGCCTCTCGAGGGCCTCCTGGGGCCTGTGGACGGCTCCTTGGGGCCTCCTGGGGCACTCTTCAAGCGGGAGGGTCGGATTTTGGAGTCGTGGTCCCCCTCTTGGGCGCATCTGGGGGCCGTCTTGGGGCTTTCTGGGGCGCCTCTGGGGCCGTCTGGGGGCTCTCTTGGGCGTCTTGGGGCGCTCTTGGGGGCCGCTGGAACTGGCTTGGAACGTCGGACAGCCGAAGAGGCCGGAGGGTCAAAATCTCTCCAAAACCTGTTATAAAATTGACGATTTGGGCCTCTTGGGGCCCTCTGGGGGGGCCTCTTGGAGGCCTCTTGGAGCGTCTTGGGAGCCTCTTTGGCCGTCTTGGCCTTATCTTGGGCATCTTGGGGCCCTCTTGGCGCCCTCTTGGGCCTCTTGGAGCCTGCTGGGCCTGTCGTGGAGCGCTCTTAGGGGCACTCTTGGGCCGCCTGGGCTGCTCCAGGGAGGCTCCAGGCCCCCCCCGTCCCGCCTGGGGGGGTCGAGGCACCTGTCCTGGGGCCCCCGGCCTCGCCCCCAGGGATACATATATATATATATATATATATATATATATATATATATATCATACATACATTTACATTTACAGTTACATTTACATTTACAGTTACATTTACATTTACATTTACATGTACATGTGCAGGTACAGATACATGTACATGTACGTATACATTTACAGTTACATTTACATGTACGTTTACATACATATATATATATATATACACATATACATATACATATACAAATACAAATACAAATACATATACGTGTACATATACATATACATATACATATGTATATACATGTACATGTACATGTACATGTACATATACGTATACATATACATATACATATACATATGCATATGCATAAACATATACATATACATATATATATATATACATATATATATATCTACGTATACATATCAGTAAGCGTTGACTCCAAATAGATAGGAGAACTGGAGGAGGACGAGAGGAGGATGGGAGGAAAACGAAAGGAGAACGAGGGCAGGACGGGAGGAGGACGGGCGGAGCAAAATCAAGCAAACGCAAGCAAGCAAGGGGAAGCAAGCAAGCGCAAGCGAGCTATAACAAGCAAGCAAGAGCCAGCGATCAAGTGCAAGCAAGCAAGGGCACGCAAGTGCATACGACCCATAGGAATCCATTGGAATATATAGGATTCGCTATTGGAAATAGCTGGCAGGTATAGGCATAGGCGTAGGCATAGGAGTTAGGGGGAGGCATAGGCATAGGCATAGGCATAGAAATTGGGGGGGCATAGGAATTACGGGGGGGGGGCAAAGGAAAAAAATAGTAGAGCATGATGTAGACCTCCTACAGGGCAAGCCGAATTTGAAAATTCATACAAAAACACAATCACATACGCAAGCATATGTATGCATAAGTGAATGAACAATACATAGTCACATGCTCACACGTGTACATTTACATAGACATACACATGTTCAAGTATACATACATTGGTGCGTGGACATGCACAGACATGTACACATACACATACTATACCTGTATACATGTGTAATCATATATACCTACACGTGTGCGTGCACATATACATCTACATTAAAAATATACGAATGTGCATACGTGTAAGTATAACATAGATGTACATCATCAGGGAACACGAACAGAAACATCGACATGCATATGTTATGTGTTTCCTCTCATCTGCCAATCATCTGTATTGTCCTCCTTCTCATTGTCGTTTTACTTCTGCCTTTATCCCCTTCGTCTCGATTTCTTCCGGGTCGCCTCACATCGGCCCCGACGCGTCGGCGCACCATGTAGCGTTCACGAGGCATCATGTGCCATTCCAAATTCTCTCGTTTGTACTAAAGTATACGCCATTTGTATCAGTGTGTTGGCCACGTCCCAGGGCAACTCTGTTGCAATGATTGCCCACTGGCAATATATGAATGAAAATATGACGCGAACCTTGTGCTCGTAATACTGCCGGTACGGGTTGTTCGGCAGCAGGAAGCTGAACCTTGGTACCACCCGAAGTGATGTCTCTCCCCCTCGACCCGCTGGGCGACGGGCCGTTCATCCTTGTCCCGTGCTCTTTCCCGCACAATTAAATCCTGCACCCGGCCGGAACTTCTCGCACCTTCCATACGCGCACACGAATGTGCACTCACACGTATGCACACATTTTGGCACGTACGCCCTCGTACTTCGAGAAAGTGTATGTGGTCAATCCGCTCAGCAGCCAGAATGGAAGTGGTGACGAGTAGTGAGCCAGCCGCAGCCGTGCCCATGTGTGCCGATCTGCGCGATCGGAACCGAGACCTGCACTCGACCGCAGACCGCACACCGCGATGCCCCGCCTTCCGACCGCCCCGCTGTATCGGCGGGCAGCGCTGGGCTCTCGCTGGGGGCGGAGCTTGGCATGGTTCTGCTCCCGCAGCACGCGCTGGAGGCGGGATTTGGGTCACAGCTAGTCCCAACCCGCCTCTCCCCCTGGCACTTCCCTCCCACCGCTTCAGCTCGCCCCCTCGACGATCCATGCCGCTCCCACGCTCACAGCTGGACCCGACCCGCTCCTCCCCCGCCCCCGCCGCTTCCACTCGCCACCTCGGCGTTCCATGCCGCTCTCGCCCTCCCTCGTCCTGCCTCGCCAAGGCCTCATCCCCAGATCCCCCGCGGGGCCTCCTGCCCCGCGATCGTGCAACGTCCGTCTTCCCCGTTCATTGGGGCATCCCCGCTCCTGCAAAGAGTTCGACGACGAGTGTTTCGAGCCAGGCGGCTCTCGGTGACCCTCTGGATGACTCGACTCCAGGTGGTCGGGCTTGCAGGGACAGAGGGGGAAGGGCGGGAAGGGGGGGAGGTGGGGGCAGCGGGAAGAAAGAGAGAGAAGAGGAACGGGGGAGGGAAGAGAAGAGGGAAAAAAAGGGAGATGAAAGGGGGATGCGGAGGGCGAAGAAGGGGTCAGAGAGGGAAAAAAACATGATCGACCCACGAACCCGGAAAGGAATATAGCAATGTAAGGCGTGCCGAGGGCTGTGCTGTGCTGCGCCGTGCTGAATTGCCATGTGCCATGCCGCGATTGTGCTCTATAGCCTCGTGGATCGAATCCTCCTTTGCATCCGAGTCCTGACCGAACTGATCTGGATCTTAAGCTCGAGCTGCCTCAGCACATAGTAGCTGCCCAGAGCTAATTGACAGGGGGACATGCTAGGAGGACGCGGCAAACGTCCCAAGGGACGCGCCAAGCGACGTGCCAAAGGACGTGCCATGGGGACGCACCGCGGGACCTGCCAAACGGACGCACTACGGAACGTGCTAGTGGACGTGCCACGCGACGTGCCAAGGGGACTCGACACGGGACGCGCCACGGAACGTGCCAAGTTGCAATGCTGAGTGTATCGATCTTGATGTAGCATGCCGAGGGCTGTGCTGTGCTGCGCCGTGCTGAACTGCGATGTGCCATGCCACGATTGTGGTTTATATAACGTTGTGGATCGAGTCCTCCCTGGCATTCGAATCCTGACCGAAGTGATCTGGATCTTAAGTTCGAGCTGCCTCAGCAGATGGTAGCTGCCCAAGAACGAAGAACGAATCGACAGGGGGACATGCCAGGAGGACGCGCCGCGGAACGTCCCAAGGGATGCGCCAGGCGACGTGCCAGGGGACGTGCCATGGGGTCGCACCGCGGGACGTGCCAAGGGGACGCGCTACGGAACGTGCCAATGGACGTGCACCACCCGACGTGCCAGGGGGACTCGCCACGGGACGTTCCGCGGAACGTGCCAGGCAACATGCCAGGCTGCAATGCTAAGGGCATCGATATTGATGTAACGTGCCGAGGGCTGTGCTGTGCCTGGGCGACCTGGACACGTGAAAAGACGCGTTTCGCTCAAGACGTTCTCAGCAAATCCTCATGCTAGACATCCGCCTGGGCAACCTGGACACGTGCAAACAAGCGTCTCGATCGAGACTTCCTCGACACATCCTCATGCTAGACATCCACCTGGGCGATCTAGACACGTAAAAACAAGTCTCTGGCAAATCCTCATGCTAGACATCTGTCTGGGCAACCTGGAGTCGTGAAACCAAGCGTCTCGCTCGAGACATCCTCAAGACCTGCGCATGTGAAACAAAGCATGTCACTATGACACAAAACAAGCGCTTCGCTCGATGCATCCTCAACAAATTCTGGAAAACAAGCGTTTCGCTGGGGACATCCTTAAATTTTAATTCGCCAGCCCACCTCGACCTCGATATGCATCGCAAAAGAAATTCGCCGGCACACCTCAAGTCAAACCCGGGGGGGAACAAACCAAAAGAGAACCCTGGGCCTATGCCCTTTCCGGGAAAAAGGGGGCGAACTAGAGAGGGAGGGAAAGGGGATGGACAGGCTGGTGATCAGGACCAGGTGCTGCTCGACAACAGAAGGCTCCACCGCAGGGAGACCATCAGGTGGAGCGCGCAGTAC